CTCGATTCACAACAAAAGACCCTTGACTTTAAATCATATCATTACAAATATCACTCGTTTCTTGATCATGATTATTAGTTAAATATTGCATTATTTCATTAGATAAAAAACATACTGGAGGCCATTTATTCATGCTATCAGATTAATGCAAAGGTATAATAAATGTTTCATTCATAGGGTTGACTTGGCATGAAACTCTTTCTTTATGACCTAAACCTTCATGAGGTCAAGTAGGCTACTATTTAAATTCTATCTTTTTATTCTTTTATAATTCCATATTTTGATTAGTCATCATCTCTAGTTTTCTGGAAACCATTCTCCTTAACATCCTCCAAAATATTGGATTTAGAATTCAAAACTCAGCCAATTATTTCTTGTTTCATCTAGAACACCTAGTTTAGAATTGATTTTCTGTTGAGAAAGAGTAGTAATTTCACTTTTTCCTTCCTTTATAATATTACAATTTATACAGTCACAATTTCTTTTCCCAAATTATTGGATTCAGAAATCATACCATTCTGCACCACTGCTAAGATCTACATTGGCTCTATTTTCTGCCTCCATATTATTTGATGTTTCTGCATTCATTAATTTCAGATCACTTCAGTTGACAATTGTTTTTCTGAGAAACTGTTCTCATCAAACCAAAATTTGAAAGAAACACAGCCTCATCATCCGTTTCACTAATAGAAGTTAACAAAGACAAATTATTTTGAGGTGATATGCATGAGTTATCTAATGAACTTCTCTCATTCTTGAAATACTTAAATATACTAAATGGGATATTATAATCGTATTTAAAGTCGTTTAACTGAGATGAATCACCCTGCTGAATGGAGAGATCAAATGACTCTTTTGTCTTATTTAAAGTTCTGCTTTGCTGGTCAGCCAGAAGGCTTTTGTTTGAACACAGGATATTAGTTTTATTAAATGTACCCAGATCATTCATAGGCTTATCTAAAACATGAGTATTAGTCTTTGCCAATATTTCGTCACAGTTCTTGTGACTACAATAATGTTTTATTCCAGGTTTGTGTTTGCAAACCCGAGATGATCTCCCTAGAAACAAAGGAATGGAATCTATACTCAAAACTATTTAAGTAGTATACTAATGTATAATTATACAAGAATATATATACATACTTCTCTTTTCCGTACCGTCATTTAAATTACAGGATACACTTGTTTTATTCTGAGAAGTTTTCTCAGTGTCTAAATATCTAGATTTGGGAAATATTCCAATAATGTTGGAGTTTTTCTGTGGTGAACCTTCCTGGTAACTAGTATGAACAAGGGCATCATTTGCCTTCTTTTCTGCAGTGGTTTTGTTCTTATTCAATAACTCTTTGTTTGAACTCAAGAAATTAGTTTCATTAAAACTATTCAGATCAACTAATGAGTTCTTTAAAACTTCAGTCTTATTTGTTGATAAAATTGTGTCCCAGTCTTGGCATATACAAAAATGTTTTATTCCAGGTTTGTGTTTGCAAGCCTGGGGTGGTCTCCCTGAAAACAAAGGAAAGAAATCATCATATAATATCATATAATTCTTCATATAATTTATGAATAATAATGTAACTTATCTCAGTTTATGAACATTTTCATACTTCTCTTTTTAGTTGCATAATAACTTTTATTTACAACATTTTGGGATCCAGGAGTTAAAATAAGGGATGAATTTTCAGGAATATTTTGAAGTGGTTTCTAAAAAGAACGACTAATTCATTTAATTGTACAAATACTTATGTACATTATTTTACAAATTAATGTTAACAACCTGAGATTTTTGCATTCCTTATCTTTATGGAATTAATTTTGTCAGTATCTTGGTTTGCATACTAAGAGATGGCAACAGCATCATCTGTGTACATGAGTTCAAAGCTATGAGGATTATAATTTCATTGTTGCTCATAATTATGACACTAGCTCATTGTTGGTCAGTTCCCTTGCATTTGCACTTGAAGTGAAAGCTGGATAGAATTGAAATTCATGATGTTACCCAATTCTTTTTAACGGAAGGGAAAAATGCAAAAGAAATCCATTGAAGGAGAGCACCAACACTGAGTAACTCAAGCCATTCCTATGAAATGGTGACTCTTTGGGTCAATGAATTGAAGTGAGGAAGGACATGCATCAACGGTACACCATGACGTGGAGATCCAAAACCTGCTGTGACACCAGAAAATATTGATAGACAAGTGCCGATGGGCAAGTGAAACTGTGTAAGTTTGCAGAGGCCTCAGGTATCTCAATTAAATGAGAGCATTTTATTTTGAAAATGATTTGAGCATTAATTAAGCAACTCTGCAAACAATGGTGTTATGATTGCTCACTGCAGAGAGCAAACAAAATAGCATGCAAACACCTGCTGAGTGTTTGCAACTATTCAACAATATTCCAGTTGATTTTTTAAATTGTTTTGTTACTATTGGTAGAATGTGGGTTCATAATTAAAAGTCAGAAACGAAACAATAATCAAAACAATGGACCGCAACAATGGAGAACTGGCTTCAAAAAAGGCTAAATGCATTCCACCAAAGGGTGATCATGTAAGACTTTTGAGATGAAAAAGATATTATTCAGATAGATTATCTCAAAAAGGTATCTCCATCATTTGAGAATACTATGCATCCCTTCCGGACACACTCAAGGCAACTATCCCAGATAAATGTTCTGGAATGGCTAGAAAAACAGTGATGTTCCATCATGATAGTTCACAAGTCCATTCAAGCTGCTTTTCTCAGTAGAAATTGATTGACATTCATGTTCAACTGCTTTTGTTTCTGTCCTATTCACTGATTTACCTTCCTTAGGCTTTCATTTGTTCCCAAAATTAAAAACTTTTCTTGGTGGACAAACATTTGTGAGCAATGAAGAAGCCATCTCAGTAGTCAATAACTACATTAAGGGCACTGAAGAAAATCACTTCAGAGAAGGAACCTTCAACTAGGAACATTGAACCAAATGCATTGAACATCAATGAGACCACGTTGAAAAATAAGGTAAGATGCAAAACTCAGGTTATTGTCTTTCATATTGAACTAAATTATCTAAAGAAATACAAAAGAATAATAAACACTAATTTTTATTAACTTTGTTTCCCAAATAATATTCACTACTTTGCCATTGTCCTTATGTTCTCATTTGGAACTTTGTTCCATGAAATTAAACCCAGTTCTTAAGAAATTAATTTGGAAAGCCTCTAATCTTTCATCATTTCTTCTCAGTGTCCACATTTCACCCGAAAAAGCAGAGAGTGGGTTGAGATTCCATATCATGAAAACTCATTAGTACACTATTTAACATTATTTTTAAAATGTCTCTTCATAAACTCATTCAACTTATTGCGTTTACTTATATTCTCTTGCATTTCAAGGTTGATGTCATTACATATATTATGGAAGCAAAGGTGCATGTAGGTCGATATTTGTTCAATAATTTGGTTGTTGATAACAAATTTGATTCTTCTCAAATATTTACCTTGCTATGCCACAGCATTAGGTTTGGGTCTAGATATCCTTAAATTATAACTCTATAGCACTCTGTTAAGGCACTCAGTTGTATTTCTTTGTATATCATTTTTGAGGTGGCCTAAACTCTTGATCATCAGCATAAGACAGATGCATAAGTTGTTTATGTCTCAATATTGGTATACCGCTTGGATTTGTGGTACTTCAAAGATCCAATATTTTGTTAATTTATATGTTGAAGAGACATGGAGACAAACCACACCCTTGTTTCATCCTTTTAGAAGATCTGATGTTTTGCAATCATTCATCATTATACACATATCACATAGTTTATGATATTTTAAGTCTTCTTTTTCTTTTTTTCTTCTCTCTTTCTTCCTCTTAAAAATTACTGTCATTCAATTAACTATTTTATTGCAAGTTCACTTTTTTAAGACAAAACAACATGTGACACATCATCCAATTAAAACATTGGGCAGCTATTTAATTATATAATTTCATACTTTACATCTACATTTTTATTTTTATATTGAGATTTGTTTACTTCCAAATTAAAAGTTCATATAAATAATACACAAGGATTTAATTTCACATGACTTCTCCACATATAGTTGTTTCCATATTAATATTTATATTTTTCTTAAAATGGCCATAATGAAAACTTACCAAACTTGATTTCATTGAATGAATAAAATTGGCATAATAATATGTAAAATACAGGCACAGGAGCAAGAGGAAGGAGAGGGAAACCAGACTTCGATTATTCTGTAGATTTAATATAATAAAATTTAAATTCTCTGAAATGAGCCTCTCATCTCTCTGATGGCTGCTACCATTCTCACTTGAAGAAATATTTTGTAATGAATAGATTAGACAATTTTTTCTTCACTTAATTGTGAAAAATATTTATGTTTATTATTTTAAAAATATTTGTAAACGACATTCTACTTTTGCATTCTTAATTTATGTATGAATTAAAATATTAAGTGAGTTCAGTACATCCATCGGAATGTATTTGATTGTTTTTTATGTTGAATTGAACAATTAACTTACATAAATTTCCAAATAATATTTTATGGTTTGCTACTGTAAAGTATTTCATGTTATTGTTTTTTTTTTATTTTTACGTCAATCAAAATTTACCAAATAGGAATACTTACGTGACTTTTTTTGGTTTCATGAGCACTATTATTATTTTTAGATATATAAGTTTCCAGGACTGCTGGAAGGCGAGGAAACCCAGTTTTTGATTCTTCAGTATTTTTAATAATATAGAATTTAAACTTCTGAAGGGTAGACCAGTCTCTCTGGTAGCTGCACGCATTGTTCCTATGAGGTAGTTGCGTAGTTTGGTTAGAACTTTCTCCCTTGAGTGTGTCCTTGTTTTCGAGATAAATCATTGGCGAATTATCATTGTCATTTTCAGGTAACATGTCGCTGTATATAAATGTTAATTTAATACACTATTGAAAACGCAAAATGTGTTTGTCACAAGTATTACGTTAAGTTAATTTTTGTTTTTCCTTTCAGAAACCCAAGTAAGAAAGTTTTCGAACCACACAATATTGCTGCACGTCAGTTCAGTTGTTGCACGATATATGTATTGTGTATTTAATACAAGTTCACATTCAATAAACCATCATCACTGAGTATGGATTGTTCTTATTGCTAACGCCTAGGTACGTAACAAACCGGTGACGAAAATAATTCGTCAAGATGGCCGACGACAATGCAGTACCAGCAGTAACAACGTGTGTGATCATTTAACGCCCTCTAGAAAGACGAAGCTGTGCACCGATTCGTTGTGGTGTGATGACGTCATCACGAGTGTACACATTATAGTAGCCCAGAAGCATGAGTACAGTGTAGTAAGCTGCGAGTTTTTGTGATTTAGTGCGAGCTTGTGCTAATGGTTTCGCCCTGTTTACTGATTGCTTCGAGAATTTCTTCTCATATCTCTGAGGGTTTGGATTCAACATTTTAGGAAGCTCTCAAAGACAGTAGCAAAAGCTGAGTTCGAGAAGCGAATGTGAAATAAATATGGAAAGAGAGTGACTCAAAGAACTGACTGTATGATGAATCTATTAATGGTGGCAGGAACCAGAGAGACTGTGGGGTTAATGTCAATAAAGATCTTCAGCTCCGAGTTTTGCAAAACTGAGTAGAACGTCGTCGCAAAATAAAACGTCACTTTTACCACTTGTATCGTAAATAAATGTTTTGTGAGAACTAATGTATTTGTTGTTGTACCATGAATGAACAAAATTATTCATAAAATTTGAACCGATTTAGTGTTGTCTTTTAGTGACTCTAGATACATGTACCATTGAAAAGGTATGAGTGTTGTGTACGAAAATGTGTTTATCCAAATGACAGTGACATTGCCATTTGCAGCGGTGGTAATATTTTTAGAATGTTCGTTAAGATATTTTTGAGTTTTATTGTAAAAATCTATAATATATTTTTTGGATTTTGTGAGTCTATTGTTTTTTATTGTGTAATATATTGCATAGATCATATTTGAAATAGTTAAATAACATTATGTCGAGTAAATTTTGTACGGTTGTTAAGATATTTGAAATGTTTTATATTTTGTAAAAATCGTAATAGATATAATTTTTTTATCTTCTTCTGGGTGTAGGGTCCTTTTTTCAGTTTACCATGATCCATAGAAAAAATGTAGAGATAGTTCCTTTTTTTGCTTCTGCACAATAAATAGCTTTCATTCCTAAATATCATATAGTTTTAAATAGGATGGGGATTTCTATGATTTTGCATTTTTTCTGTTGCGTCAGGACGTAGCTAAGTAAAACTTCTTGACATTTGGTCAGAATTGGATTCTGTAGAGATTAATATGTTAGTGCATATTTGATCGATTTTTCCTCTTGGTGCATATTCACGTAATTATAGGTACATGTTTTGCATATTTCGTGAAAATAGAGACTTTTCTCTAAATCGTTCTCATTTGTTCATAGTTTCTATTTATTTGTGAGTGTTCATTGATTAGATAGAGCTTGTCTCTGTGCATTTCATCTCTGTATGATAAAATACTATGCAAATGTAGGATATTTCTTAACACTTTTTTAAACCAGCCACAATAAAAGCAACAAGACATACTAAGGTGAATGTTTACTTCCATTATTTCTCCTGAAAAGTAAAGTAGAGTATGCTATGTTTGCCCCAAATCAATTTTTTTTTCCAACACTGTTTCTCCTGAATATCAAGAAAGGTTCATAGAGGAAATGAAATATTGTTAATTTTAATTACTTATTTAAGAATTTTTAGGTCATAAATGCATCTTTTTAAAAGCATATTTCAAGATCTTTAGGACACAAAAATCCTCTCCTTAGTTATAACATTTATTGGCTAAGTAATTTGTTTACCAAAGTTTGACTAGTTGTAATGATAAGTTGTGAACAGCAAAATTAATCCCAATCCCTTACCATGAAGAGTAATGCTGCAAAGTAATAGGCAATTTTACACTGAACTGTAAAAAATAAGCAGAAATTTTGTTAGGAAATGTTATGAACATGATTCATTAATGCATTCGATATGATATTTGTTATCAAAAGCTTCTCCTGTTTGTGTATAACCAGGAAGACCGAAGTACTTGCTTGCCAGGGCGCTTGTACACTCGTGATGGCGTCACGATTTAGCTTAACAGACTTTTGTTCATTCAAAATGGCGTTGGATCAGCGCTGAGCTCAGTGGGCGAATTCATTCGAGGAAAACCAGAGGCAGTAGAAGTATTAATAAATAATAATAATAATAATAATAATAATAATAATAATAATAATAATAATAATAATATGAATTTATTGAGTCACAAAACACTATAAAAAGGTTTTCACCCAATGGTCGACGGACAGGTCGCTCCGCGCGAGCGTGCCGCAGCGTCCCGAGAAGCAGTAATTGTCTCTCGAGCCCTCCGTGTAAACCACATAAAAAACCCGCCCTCTCCGCGGGGCGCTTTCTTCCCAACTCCCGTGTGGTCTTCATTTCCCATCCACAACGCAAAATTCACTTAGTTGGGCTCTAAATTTTCTGGTCACTTTGTCACATTCGCATCGATGTAAGGAAGGAGTGAGTTTTCTCACTGAACGGCGTAGCAAGCGCATGACGTTAAACGGTTAAATTCGATACAAAAAATTAGGTGCCAAGTAAAATCTTTTCTGCTGCACAACTGTTTCTATACAATTAGAGACTATACTGAGCATCCAAAAGGAAAGTAATATTAATTTTTAAAATGGCATTTAAAGTATGATATATAATTTGGATTGTATAATTGAAAAGAATCTGTAACAAGTATAGTACTTCAGCTTCTGGGTCGATGACCCCCATCTCGATCAGGTTTTCGTCCAGTTTCCCTTATTCTCGAGCAAATGCTGATATGGCCCCTTGTTTTGCTTCTGGACTGCCAGAATCCCTGTTATGCGGGTTTTTAATACCGAAAAATCGATTGACGGTAGAATGTCTATCTGCACGCATGTAAAAAACGCTAGCGTCTAAACCGTTTGGCCGATTTTCTCCAAAATTGATAATCCGCATTCAATCATGCAACCTCGCATTCAATCAGTTGCAACCTCTTGAATTTGAAACCGATATTTGGGGGGGGGGTACTTTACATGTAGGCCCTGATTCGTTTTCCATATTTTTAAAAAAATGGCTCCATTGGTTTTTTATTAAATTTGGTTTTTGGATGTGTGAAGGACGTGGGAGGATGGTTGAGGTTTCATAATCGTTAAAAACCCTGATTTTTCAAAAATTGCATAAGTTCTAAATTTTTTCGGAGTCTTCCAACAACTAATATGTTAAATTTTTCCCCTTAATGAAATAAGGCCATGTACAATATTTCGAAAATTTTAGTACATTTCGCCTAATTTTGTATAATAATACGGGCGTGAAAGTACGTACTGCTTTTTTAGCCCCACTAGTTGACATTGAACGTGGAGTAATTCTTGAACTTAGTCAAACGTCAAGTTGTAAGTCATGGCCTTCTTTCCCTAATGGCCTGGCTGCCGTTAGTATCCGGTTTTTCCGGTCGGTCACCCGTCCAGTAACCCCCGGTGTGTCGAGCTGCCTAACTTCCATTACATCAGGAAGTTCGGCTACAGGCATCGATATGCTTTAAGTTCCATTCACATACAGAATGTCTGAGAACAAAAGTTACAAACATCTAGGTGTTGTAACAAGGTCAAAAATGATCACATTATGTCAATGAACATGTAGTAAGACATTTCATAGAACTGAATGGCGCATGTGGCATTTGCGCCTGATTCTTAGGCAACCCCATACGCACAGCTGTTCGGCAGGACACATTTTGACGCAGTCACGGGGATGGCGTTCCTGACCAATATCTTCGCAAACGCGCTGAGATGGCTCAGGGCAACTACTGTTTCCACGGCAGTTGCTCTTATTCGGAGCTCCTAGTGCGCGAGCCCCGACAGTGGTGAAATTTTGACACTAGTTAGATAGTTGTCTGGAGAATTCTAGTGGCCGGCTGCTCTGATTTGTCTTGTTCCGGGGTTTCTCCTATCAATAGCATGGAAATGCCGAAGCAGTACCTTAGAGAACGAACTACTGACTACACGCGACCTTTCCTTTCTCATCCCTGTCCCCTCGTCTGTTAACTCACCATTCACACCTGAGAGACTTGAGCTAGTCCCGGCTGGATCGCTGCTCCGTCAGGGTAGTTGCCTGAACGTACCTCAAGCCGATATGTAGGTCGCGTAGGGGCTTCAGAACATCATCTCAAGCCCCAGCGGGAGAGAAAAAAATGCCACTTCCAAGAATGTAACATGCACAGCGCTTACGGGACTAACGACCTCAGTTGCCGGTGCGCCCGGAATCCATACTCACTAAACTGCTATGCCGCTGTGCGCATGAGTGTGAACGGTCCGTGTGCGCAGGGCGTGGCGTGGGAGTCGGCGGGGGCGGGGCGGCAGTGGCTGCCGTGGGGGCGCTGGGCGCCTGGCCGCTCGCCCGCCGTGCGGGGCCCGCGCCTGCCGCTGGAGCTGCGCAGGGCCAACCTACACGGCGCCTCGCTCAGCGCCGCCATCGGCGACGTGAGTGGCCCTTCCCGCCTCGCCCACGGCCGCGCGCTCCCGCTGCCAGATGCCGCACGAGAGGGTCTGATTTCCCCCGCTGAAGATTTCCCCGTTTTCAAAGGGACGCTCTCCACGATACTATAACATTTCTCAGGATGCGGCTGTATTCACGTTCACCCTTATATTTCAATATTTCAACGAGTTTTGGATGCCGCTTAACGTAGAAAAATTATAATTTTTATCACTATTTGGCAGGATGAAGGACGAGCGTCTTTAGAAGATGTTGATACGTAAAACTAGAAAAGAATAAAAAATGTAGTTACGCGACTGTGAAAATATGCTCTTCAAATCCACATTGTCTGGAATAGTAGCAATACCTCCACAGAGAAAATACTTATTATCAAGTAAAGTGAAACTTGCTGAAACAGCCACCTCGATTAACCACTGGGCGCTGGTTACGGCCGAGTGGTTGCTGGCCGTGCGTAATATAAATCCTCTTAGTCTGTTTCACAACCCAAAAAGAATAATTTAAAAACAAAATAATAATATGTAAGGAGAACAAATTGAAAAACTTTTACACACATTGCCTTCAGCATCGGTTCATTCAGCATTGTCATAGGAATGGAAACTGTTGAAATGTTAATGTAGTTAGCATAACGATTAAAAGTGAACATTACTGTAATAGGATGCAAACAAACAGATGAGAAATAAGGCGGCAAACTTGAAGAATGATAGTGGTTTGATGGCTTCTGTTTTCAGAGTTATGTGCTGAACATACTGGAGGCATTGTGAATATTATTATTCTAACCACTAAAATAATTTAAATACAGATAAAGAAAAAGACAGCAATATGGAATTAAGATCTGATACAAACACGTCGATTCAGTACAACAAGGCTACACGCCACCATCAGGCGCCTCTCATGATTTCACTGCAAACACACACAGCGGCCACAGGTTCTCGCGAGCTTCCACCAAGAGCGCTGAAATCATAGGGTCAGCCACTCTATGTAGTATATTCTAGCTCGTTATTAACTACACGCTGTGTCGTGTCTTTTCAAGTATTCGGTCTTTGCTAGAATTAGACAAGCTGATACGATATGATCAATGGTTTCTACTTGTTTCTGTCAAATGCGGCATTTATCATCTTGGGAAATTTTGAGAACTTTTTATCATAATGCCGTGTTCTCAGCGCCCGATCTTGGCTAGCAATTACAACTGTATTTGATTATTGACTTCATTCTTTCCCTTTTAAGCTCCATAAATGATTGATCTTGATTGATCTGCACCTTGTCCATTCTTTTTAGTAGTCCATCTTGTGTTGGTGTAGGACCCGCCTTTCGAGGAGGTGAAGAGAGGCAGCGCAGATGGGCCGCTGGTGTCGGGCTTTTTCGTGGCCGTATGGCGCGAACTGGAGCGCAAGCTCAACTTCACGTGAGTTATTTATTCATTATTAAAGTATTAGGTTAAGGATACCGGAGTTGCCAGTGTGTTTGTCACAACTATTTATTAGAGAGAGAAATGAACAATTATATGTATAGTGTGAAATGGAAACCATTTTATTTGAAACTCTACTGTCCCTGACACTCTCCGCTCCGCTCTGTTCAGCTTTCCCGCACTCCTTCGTCCCAACTGTAGTATCCAAAAGAAAGCAATTTCTAAAAATGGATTTATTCCAACCACAATCAGTACAGAGGTAGACAAATTCAAGTCAGATCCAAACAATTTTCCAGAATATGTACCGAAGAATGCCCAAGTCACAATTTCCCGGGGAGATGTCCGAAATCGCAGCCGTTGTACCGTTCACTGTTGTACCGTTCACTATTTTACGAGAGAGGGAGTCCTTATCCGAAGCCGTGTCGTCGCAATAGTTCACCATCCACTAATCACTTCTCGATGCAGGCAGACGCTTGACTGTCTCTCTGCTCGCCGGGCGCGGCTTTATAGCCGGCTCGGGCTGCGCTGACCAGCTGTCCGATACGGATGCGCCCGTCCGCTCCGGAGCCTGGTTGAGGGTAATGGCGCCGGGGCGTCTGCTACCGCCGGCCTCTCTTGAGTGGCGCCGGAACTAATTTCCGGCGTCACTTTAAAAGGCACGCAGTCGACCACAGCACCAACCGCACTTGCCCGTCACGCTCCGTCCCCCCTGCTCCCCTCTCATGCTCTCCCTAGTTAGACTCGCCCCGGGCAAACGCCTCGCGGTGCAAAAGCAATGCTCATTTCGTTATGATTTACCAAAAGGGTATCATTAAAAATTGTATTTTACTTTGGAGCACTAGAGCTATAATGAGTCATCTTTTAGCATCCAAATTGTGCGCTAATCGAACATTGTCACATCATCGCAGATAAAAGCACAACAACATAGCATCTAATAACAAAGCAAGGAACCTTCTCAGCATTTGTTCAACGGATCAAGAAAAACTATGCGATAAACATGATCGAGATAGGATCATGCCCTCACAACACTGCAATTGTCATCATATTCATTACTAGAATGCAAGAAGGAGGACCGGGGTTGGTTGGCACAAGAGGTTAGATGACACTCAGGTTTTTGCATTGGCACCTTCCATGAGACCTATTTGTTCTTTATGACCTAACGAACTTCCCACGAAATCTCTGGATGATCAGTGCAACGATGGTCCAACAGCCATCTCTCTCGCAGGACGTATTCTAAGCAGCGGGTGCCTGCGCGTGCACGTGTGTGCCCCGGCTGAGGTGGCTCAGGGCAACCACTTATGTCACTGCAGTGTCTCTGATCGGAATGTTCTGAGATTCGAGTCCCGACGGGGAAACAGGATTTTCGACACAAGGTAGATAGCTAAGTCAAGCTCAGCCGCTGTCTGGAAGAGAATCCTCGCGGCCGTCTAGTTTTCCGTGGTTTCGGTAGTTTTTCGGTAGGTTTCCGTGGTTTCTCCGTTCAAAGCAGGCCAATGCCGGAGTAGTTTCCTTAACAAACGGGCCACGGATCTGTCACTACCACACCTGTGATGAGCTTATCCCGTGCGGTGGTGGTGCCCCGCTGGTGAGAGATGCCTGGTTGAAGGAAAACCCGCAAGTCGGCGCCGGATTTCGCCATCCGACGGGAGAAAATCACTGCCACCTCTCGCGATAAAAAAAATTCTCTACATTACGGGACTAATGAGCTATGTAGTTCGTCGCACACGAAATTATCGATCCCTTGGAATTTAGCCGAAGTAAAAAAAAGAGATCCAATAATTGAGGTTTCTTGGGAATAATGTAGTACTTTTGTCATTTAAAACGAATGAATAACGAGCGCGCGTGCGCAGAACGCAGCTGGTGCCGACGCGCGAGAGCACGGGCGGCGCGCCGCTGGGCGGTGGCAACTGGAGCGGGCTGATCGGGGTGCTGCTGCAGCGGCAAGCGGGCGCGGCGCTCAACCGCATCACGCTCACCACCGCGCGCCAGGAGGCGGCCGCCTTCACCGTGCCCATCCTCACCACGCGGTCTGTACTCGGCGCACTCGCGACTCGCTGTGTTTTTTGTTGTTTGTTTTTTTCATCTTCATGACGACGCAACGCGTCTCCTACCCCTTTTTCTACATTCATAACATTTTTTCGGACAAACTGCAAAACCTATAGAAAGAAAAGTTGGAAAAAATGTTCACTAAAAAACATACAGCGAAACAGAACATCCTACCCCAAACTCCTACCCCATTTTCTGTTTCGATGCATGTGTTCAGTGAACATTTTTTCCAACTTTTCTTTCTATAGATTTTGCGGTTTGTCCGAAAAAATGTTATGAATGTAGAAAATTACCATCGTATGTCACAAGATATAACGGCAGTATTCTTAAAGAACAACATATGCTAATCGGCCACCTCACGCTCCAAAAGTGGAATCTGCAAACGCTTTTCACGGAAATTTCTCGTCATTTCGCAGAGTGCCATTTCACAGAGCAGTGTCCCAGCACTTCGCAGACGCTCCCGCGACCCAGCGTGGAACCAGTTTAACCGCGTAGTTCCTATTTGTGGTCGTTCGGCAACCACATAACCGCACTCCGTTACTGTCACTTTCCATTCTAATGCGACCGAATTTTGTTTAGTTACCACTGATTACGAACATGGAGGAATTATTTTGTGTATAGTGTATTTTATTTAACAAAGATACTCACTTCATAGTTACTTTTCTTTCACACGTCCGAGAATTTTAAAACGTGGAACTTAACATTAAAAGAAGCTAAATCGTTATCTGTCCATTGTCCGAATTTTCTGTTTATGCTGTTTCTTTTAACATATTTAATATCATAACGCCTAATTAAAACCTAAAGAAGTCCCTAACATGATTTGAAAGGTCTAAAAATGCAATATTTAAAGGAAAATGTTTAACATGCATTATGCGAGAATTTCTCCGAAAAATCATCAAGAAATGCAATGATGCACGGAAAAATAATCCTTTTCTTTAATGAACGAGTTGTGAACCATATACATGAAATTTTAAAACGGTAGTAATCTTACATAAAAACGTATTCGAAGTCAATCAGTAAACGAAGTCAGGTCGGCCTTTCTACATGGTACAGTTTCCTCATACAGAAACTTCATGATCCCAAACTAGAGTTACAAAAATAAAATTCAAAACAAACATGTTTACACGGTCTGCTCGTTTTCTCTACGATTTACTACGAAGAGCATGTAGAGGCTCTGCCAGGGACGAGAATGAATTGCCGAATTGCGCACTCTGAGTACATTCATTCACGACGTTTGTGTACGTGCACATTTATTAATACTTTTTTACTGAGCTACTTTATTAATACATTTTAAAATTGCAATGAAACATGGAGAGAAAAACTAGAAAGACCGTTATCGTTGCTACAAGCATGATTGTGGCTCCGAAGGCTTTATCGGGTACGGAGAAAAAAGCTTTGAAAGGAGGACGTCTTGGCTGGAGAAGTGAAATTCAGTAACCTCCCATTTGCAAGAGGCAGTAAAATAAACTCACCAGAAAAGACGAGAAATCGAATTCGCCGCGCCAATTCATAAAATCTGGCGAACCTCGCCTAACTTAACTTCAAAATTGAAGAGGATGAACGATTTCCGCCACAAAGAAATCCGTTAGTGAAAGATTTTACCTCTAGAGGCGCTAGTGTCAAACTGTACCATTCCTGTACGAGAAAAATCGAGCACGCTCAAACGTTTTCATGCAGAAAAATGTAGTGTGGGCTGCACGCTCTCGGTTCGTCCGATCTGCACGCAAACAATCGCGTAAAATAAGGCATTAATTCAATTCAATTCGATAAAAGGGGCTTAACTGCGTGCGTTCCGATGGCAGGGCGAGCTTCTTCATCCGCATGCCGGCGGGGCGCGAGGGCGGGTGGGCGGCGTTGGCGGCGCCGTTCA